CAGATCATCCGTGTGTCGGACCCCAAGGGTGCCAACTACATAGTCCTGCATGCTAGCGGATGTGCTAGCACTAACCCGATGCTTGGCTGTATAAATCAACGCACCCCTTCACTGTATGTACCTCTCATTGGTTCTCCTAGAAAAATAATAGGCTGTCGTCAGCAAAGAGGTGCAAAACCGGTGGGGCAACCCTCACCACCCGAACGCCATGGATATCCCCTCTAGCTTCCGCCTTTTGCAATAAAATGGATAACCCTTCCGCACATATAATAAATAGGTACGGGGACCGTGGATCACCTTGACGAATTCCCCTCGTAGGAGTTACCGTACCAACAGACTCCCCATTAACCTGAATATTATACTGGATAGTGGTAACACATAATAGCACTAGATCAACCCACCCTCGGGCGAATCCGAGTGCCATTAACATACTTTCAAGAAAACTCCATTCCATGCGGTCATACGCTTTAGCCATGTCGAGCTTAAGTGCTGCCCATCCCACACACCCCTGCCGTGTAATTCGGAGGTAGTGTCCTATCTCGCCTGCCACTATGACATTATCTGTTAGTAAACGATTTTGAACAAAGGCACTCTGACTCCGGGAAATGAGGACATCCAAAATTTCCTTCAAACGATTTGCTACATTATAAAATGCTATCGGTCGCAAATCAAACACATTTTCTGGAGTTTTTTTTCTTCAAAATTAGCACAACATTTGTCTCATTCAATCATTGCGGCATAACATAGTTATTTAGGCAGTTTAACACAAAACACGTTAAATCATGGCCAACAATAGCCATAAATGCTAGTAAAAAGTAGGTGTCATACCGTCCAGGCCTGGTGCCTTGTCCGGGGCAATTTTGAAGAGCGCTAGTTTGACCTCCTCACCCGTGAAAGGCCGCAATAGTCGTGCATTCATCTCCTCCTTTACACGACATGGCACATCGGGAATAAGATTGGCCTGGGCAGAAGAAGACATGAAAATTGCATCGTAGTACCTCATAATCTCCGTAGCCATGTCTGCTCCCTCGACATATATACCATGTTGGTCTTGCAGACGTAATAACAAATTACCCCGCTTGCGTGCAGTTGCTGACTTTTGAAAGAATTTTGTGTTGCTGTATCCACTGTAACACCCCCGATTTTCAACAACATTTTAAAAGCTTAAAAGACATGATAAGCAAACTAATCATTCATTAAAATTAAAGCAGAAGCAAGTCTAAACATGGGCATTATGCCACACCTAAACAACATAGGTGCACAAGCTACACAAAGTCTATGTCAGAGTTCAACATCTAAGGCTCACAGGCCAAAACATAAGCTAGGAAAAAGGGGAAATTACACTAGCTACCAACTTCGACTAGCGCGCTCCGCAACTAAGCAAAACCTATAAAAGATAAGGGATAACACCCGGTCAGTGAATAATGCTGGTAATCCACCAACACACGTTAAGTATCATAATATACATAGATATAAACAAAACCATTTGAAACTGGGAATACAGTTGTTGAGATTAATAAGAACAAGAAAAATAATAATAATGGCAAATAGGGTAAAGAAGACAAGATTTACGTGGTTCGGCAAAGTGCCTACATCCACGGGAGTGAAACAATACTCTTATTCATAGTGATGGTGATAGTGGTGACACTACCCTTTAGGGATACAACCAATATATTTATAGGCATCCAATCCCTATACAATAGGTCTACCCGTTTCACTCCTACCCCTAGTATGAGACAAACACTTATTCCTAATCCATATATGAGACAAACTCAACAACAGTATATATCATTTTAAAACCGAGAGACGAAACATCAATAGACTCATCAATCACTCACAACAAAGGTCAAAGACCATCAACAAGAATTCTCCCCAAGACAATCAAGAGAACAATACAACAATAAAGACAATGAGATTAACGAGACCTAGCCAAGCCAAGTCATTTACTAAGGAGTCATCTCATCGACTCAGATCATAACGGATTAGCGTGGAGTTACCGAAACACTTAAAGCTCAGCAAGGCAGAACTTCACTGTAGTGAAGCCTAGTGCACGGTGCTTACCACGCAACCGTCACCACCGCCCATCCAACGGAACCTCACTTACCAACACAACAACGGAACTAGCAAGGTAGGATCTTCACTGCAACAAAGCCTAGCGCACGGTGCTTTCCACACACCGTCGCCACCGCCCATCCAGTGGAACCCTACTTACATCACAACAACAACCTCATCGTAAGGCAGGATCTTCACCGCAGCGAAGCCTAGCGCACGGTGCTTACCACACACCGTTGCCACCGCCCATCCAACGGAACCTCACATACTCACACAACCACAACATCGTAAGGCAGGATCTTCACCGCAGCGAATCCTAGCGCACGGTGCTTTCCACACACCGTCGCCACCGCCCATCCAGCGGAACCCTACGCATTCCTCAACAAACTCACAACCAACCCAACAATTACCAACTTCCACACAATCCAACAGAGGAAGGCTCATCAAGAGCTCAATCACGGAATCAACAACATAGTACAACACATGTACATGTACAAGATCATACTAAGGGACTCATTCAAGAAGTTTCAATGAAAGGCATGAAACGATACTCAACAACAACAATGGACTCCAATCCAATATCAACGTGATTGGAAACACAAGTTTCCAATCCTCAACAAGAAGGAACAAACCGCACATACTAGCATAAACGACATCAAAACTAGCATGCTCATCAAACGGGTAAACCAAAACGGTTCCAACAAACCTTTAAGACTCATATTAGTCCTACGAATCACAAGGTTGGACCATTAGCACGATTCAAGACATCAAATCCTAACATGGATTCCTAAAACATCGTTCTAGACGTACGAAACATCAAGAAGACTCACAAAAGCTCAATAATCCAACAATGGGAGGTCAAAACATCAAGTACCAAAAGGAAAGGACCACGGGGAACAATTCCCCGCAATCACCATACATGTTCCCCGTGGGTAAGGCCACAGGTAGGCCACCACCCGCGGGGTACATCAGGGCCCAAAAATCAGCATTTGCAAATTTTCACTTTCAAGGTCAAGTTCAAGTTCAAATGACCCCAAATCTTCCATACAACAAAGATATGACTTGAACCTATGAATAGCTCAAATAAAAGCATTTAAGAACCTTAAATACAAGCTCTAAAAATGCATTATCACAATATCATGCATCAATCACTCAAACACATCAAGAATGTCACATAGAAGCCAACAATCATTATTATCAAGTGAAAATAGGTTTTGTGTAGCATGGGTTACCTCGTGTAGACCAAGAATACCTTCTTCGACCTCAAAGCAAGACCAAAGCTCTTCTAGATCAACCTAGCACTTCACCCACCACTAGCTCTTCTACAAACTCCCAAAACCCAACAAGATAAAAGGGGGATTTAGAGAAAGGTGGAGGAATCTTGTATGGAAAAAGGTAGGGAAGGATAGATCTTATCACTTCTAGCCTTGTAGTGTTGGAAAGATGGAATCTTGACTTGGGATTTCTTGATGAACTTGTGAGGAAGAACCCTAGGATTTCCTAGAGAGAAGGAGAAGTAGGGAGCAAGAAAGAGATGTAGAGAGAAGGGAAATCCTGAAAATGATTTGGATTCCTTTGTTAGGGTAGGGTTTTAGTGCTAGCATTGTGTGAAATGACCAAAAGGGCCCCTTCCTCTCAAAACTTGTTAGGAGAAAGACAAAGTCTAAGGTACAAGGGCTAAAGCCCAAGGTACAACTCATTGAACAAATTAGAAGGATAAGAAATTTGGTCAAACTAGGTCCATCAACTAAATTAGAAGGAGCATTAAGACAAGAATTGTAAAACCACAAGGAATTAATTCGGGTTTAAGGAATGAATTTCTGGGGTGTTACATCCACACTTGAAGCATAGTTGTTTCAATCGTTGACGCCAAAAAAGCCTCCTCCTGCGCGATTAGGGCTCACAACTTCTTTTCCAGATCAAGATACATAGATACTGCACCTAGATTGCGACATTCTCGTATGTGCTCCAGCCTACGTCATAAACTTCCAATTCGACTGCCAAACCTCGTGAAGTGTTCTCTCCCCCCCCTACCCCCCACCCCCCATCGTGATAGGTTGTGGCTACAATCCGTCACTCACAACTGGAAAGCCTTGCCTACGGATTACCCCCACGTATACTCCACCACATCGCGGCATAGGAATTGTAGACAAAACTACAATTCTAGCAATTTTTTCAATTGGCAAAAATCCCAAGATATTGCCATGAATTTCCACTGAAAGTACATTCTGTCCCTCCCAAGATTATGAGTATAGTCCAATACGAATGTTATTAAACATGATATGTATGGTAATGTTTATGTACATTAATCTTTGTTTTTATAAATATATAGAAGAATATTATGAATCTATTAGAGAGTAAATAGAAATATATATATATATATATATATATATATATATATATATATATATATATATATATATATATATATATATATATATATATATATATATATATATATAGGGTGGGATTCAAGTGAGAACATAAGAACTAATCCAAGCCCTTGAAATTAACCTAATCAATGATCTGGATTAAGTAATAATTAATAAGTAGATCATTAACATAAATAATTAAAAAGGATACTAATGTAATTTTGTCCAAGTACCAATTATAAACTAATATTATATTTGAATGACTCCAAGATTTTAGGAAAACAATATCAGGGAGGAGTCCAATTGGTCTGAAAGTCTGCGATCACACAATATGTCCAAGATCATTTTTCGACCGGCGTTTGCGAAATATTGCCGTCTGTGGGCATCCGGAAGCATACGAAGATAAGCAACAATTGAAGATTGCTGCTGTAGGATGGCAAGTGATGAAGACCAAGATTTTATGAGTGATATTTAAATTCCTATACATGTTCGTATTTCTATTTTGAATGCAAACAAATTCGTATATGCGTACGAATAGGGTGGGATGCAATGCGAAATTAGTATTGAAGAGATTAGCGAACAGTAACAGTTATGTAGTATTCTCATTCGAGAAAACGCCACACCCACTGCTTGTGCACAACAATTTCTAGGTTTACCGTCTTGTAAAACGCACACTTGTTCTATTTATTATGACACACACTGCGATACCCAAGTGCACAACTCCACATGTCACATCCACCTAGGTTGTGTGCACACTCAACTTACAGAAAGTACACACATGGAAATCACGTCTACGGAGAATGGATGTAGTGGGATTTCCATGTGTGCACTTACGGGATAATGAATGTGCCACACAGGTCACAGAAACACTGAGCACGTGCACATTGGGCCAAATGTTTGTGCCACATAGCTTAACCAAAACGAGTGTAGTTCCAAGGGAATCTACTACTTATGTCTAATACCGATCATTGAAACCTGTAAAACACATATTGACATAGATGGCATGATTATCTACTACTTATATGTATGTACATATAAATGTAAATGTATTACTTACAATCCCTGCACAATCATTGGTATTATGTTGCAAGAGATCAGACCATGAATCAGAACATAAACTGTGTGCTATAAAATGCAGAATGATCCGTGTGTGAAAAAAATATATAAAAGAAGTTGGTGTGCACTAAGGTTTAAGTATGTGTGCCACAATGTGCAAAAATACTGACAGAATGAATTGACGAAAACTAGGTCGATGTTACAAAGTATGGTGTGCACATCGGTTAAAAAAGTTTGCCATAATGTGGAGAATGAGTGTGTATGAAAAGATGTAAAACTAGTAGGTGTGAACCTTGGTTGTCACGGGTGTGCCATATTGCCAACAATACTGTTATAATGAATACACGGAAACCACGATGACGTGGTGGATTACGTTGTGCACTTGGGTTAACTAGTGTGTGCCGTAATGCTCAAAAACTGATATACAGAATAATGTGCGATTACGATGTCGCACACAGTGTATTTCACAAGACACACATAGAAAGTTTGAAACCATTAATACGCCATAAAAACCCCAAAAAATTACCCAATGATACACTGAACGGAACGTGCGCATGTAGATGTATATGAATGTGTATGCACCAACACCCCCTAAACCTGGCTAGTGTGCACTTGGGTTGAATTGTGTGTGCCAAAAATGTGAAAAAATCCTATCAAAATAAATTCATGGAAAAGATGTTGGTGTGCACCTGGGTTGAAGTGTGTGTGTCATAATGTGCAATAATACTGATAGAACGAATCCACGAAAACCATTTTGATGTTATAGACTACGGTGTGCACTTGGTTTAAACTATGCGTGGCATAATGTGCAGAATGAGTGTGTGTATGAAAAGACGTAAAAGAAATATGTGTGCACTTGGATTGAACTTCGTATGCCATAACGTAAAGAATGAGTGAGGAAGAAAATACATAAAACAAGTTGGTGTGCACTTGGGTTAACAAGTTTGTTCCATGATGCTCTATAAAACTGATAGGCAAATTCCGTGTGCACTTGGGTTAACGAATATGTGCATGCACCAATACCCCCCCCCCCCTCCCCCCCCTAACGTGTTTAACGTTGTGTGCAACAGTACAACAAAGCATCAATTAAATATCAAACATCATAAACAGAATACATAAATACATAAATGTACCAAAATGAACTAAACAAAAATACTGATCAACTTGTTCAAATGAACACACAGGTTATTAGCATTGTTCAACCGCGTTATGGCATTAAACTAAGCTACGTATGTTCTTGGAATGGTGTATGTTAAACTCAACCGACAAAATCTGATGCATACAAGTCATCTTCAACCAATCAAGACCCCTACTATAACCCTTTTACAAACCACAATCACACTCATTCACTGATTACCCCAAGAAGATCTCCATGTGCCGCATCGCAAATACGCCACAATCCATGTACTTTGTTACGTGCATCATGACAACGCATCTACATCCTTCTAAGAACAAGCTTTTGTACGACAGCCCCACACCGATCATCAACCACATTGTCAAGGAACACAAACAGCAAATCTTTCTGACAAAGGGTATACGACGATAGAAAATATTAGACATCGGATTACCAACAAAATCAAACATAAAGGAAAAAAATAGGTGTATGAATAGATGTTCATACAACTGTGTGTGCACTTAGGTAGAATTGTGTGTTCCAAAATGTGAAACAATATTGTCTGAAGGAATAGACGAACGCCAGGTTGATGTGATAAACTAGGGTGTGCACATAGGTTAGTATGTGTGTGGCATAACGTGCATAATTAATTTGTGTATGAAAAATGAAAACACAGTTATCAGATTCAAACACAGGAAAATATCAAGCATCAAAACTAATAATCTCTCTAAGGAATTATGTCGAACACATTATGAGTATTTGAAACATAGTATACCCCCTTCCCAAATCTGATGCTTTAATTCACCAAAGCCTATCTTAAGAAAATTAATGGTCACCCACTACTTGTAAAAAACTAAAAACACCAACAACTGCCATAGATTCCAGCCACAAACAAGACCAAAACCCATACACAACTATGCATCGACAAATCCGAATAGCACAACGAAATTCAGACCACAACAAAAACAAAAAAAAAATGGAAAATAACTCTAAGAAGCAAAAATCGAAAGGGGAACATATGAAAAAAAAAACAAGAAAAATCTGCCATTACCGCTGGCCACAAGCAACACCGAAATCGTACACATCTACACACCCACAACCGAATAGCGCATGGAATGCATTAAAATGCAAAGAAAAATTTTTTATTTTTAGAAAAGAAAAAGAAAAAGAAAAAGAAAAAAAAAAAAAACCAACCTCAAACGGACGCCCTTCTCGCGAAACAGGAGTGTTTAGGATTTCGGCCATCTACCTGAGTACAGAAGCAACGAAACGACCTAGAGGATAGCGGAAACGATCTGCACCAGTCAAGCAATCCAAGGAGTCCAAACGATTTTGAAACTAGCGACTGACTGAGAGAGAAGACTGAGAATAACGCTGAAATGCCACATGCCTTGTTGTTAAAAACCTAAACTATCACTGTTTACCTTTAATAAAATTGTTCCAGCGGAAAATAACATTAAATAACTTATTAAGACTACTAAAAATATGGACCATTGATTGATCAAGATAAAACACTAAGATTAGTTCCTAAACACTTACATATATATATGATGTATATGTAATTTTGTATTTAAATTAAGGTTCAAGTTCACGATTATTTAAAACAAATGTAATGTACAAATATTTTTTTTTGAGTATTATTGACTCTGTTATAATGTAGTATATGTTCATACATACTTTCTCAACTTATTAAAGCACAAATAATTAAATGCCCCACTGGTATATTAAATATGATAGTTTGATACACTAGTTGATGCCATTAGCGTCATTTTGGACAAGGATTTACCATACAATGTGGATGATGGTCCAATCATTTGTGACATAAATAATATCATTAACCCATTGTTGCCGCCAAAGGCCCAAACCAAATTTTCTAGTATTCTTCCAGACAGTAGAACATGCAGGGGTTTCTGATACTTTCCCCTAATCTCTTTTTTCTTCCCGGATCTCTTTTGTTTCCAAAACATTGTGGGCTGATTTGGAATGGAAATCGAGCGACTTTAACTTCTGTTTCCAGTTTAATAGCGAGTTGTCATCGAAGAAAATCCCAAGCGGATGCATAGGGTTTCCGTCACATTTCCCCCAATCTCTATTTTCTTTCCAACTCTTCCTAATTTCCTATTATTTACCAAATCTTGAAGTTGAAGAATAGAATAGTTTTAGCTTTTGATTTCGACCTCATTATTCTATCAATTTAATGGCTCGACGTCGGCGACTAAAAACCATAGCGGATGCAAGTAGGGATTTAATAAGTAAGCTGCCGGTAGAGGTAATGGACCAAATTTTGGAGTGTTTGACCACCTGAGACACCGCCAGAACTTCTCTGCTCTCAAGGCACTGGAATGATGTTTGGTTGCAGCATAGGCAGCTTGCCAAGATGATTATGGTAGAGAGCTCGTGAATATAATCAATAATATCCTCTTTTCCCGTGCTTTGCCGGTTAAGAAATTTAATCTGCTGATTTCATGTGTTGATCCTAAGCTGCAGTAGTATGAAATTGATAGGTAGTGTCGTTTTCTGTCAACGAATGGTGTGGAGGAACTGAACGAAACCCTTCTTCCGAAGAAGGTCACGCCGCCTAGCCTTCCTCCAGATTTGGAAGAAGGCAACAGTGGCCTTCTTACATACTTGGAAGAAGGTCACGCCGGCCTTCTTCCAAATCTGGAAGAAACCACCAGCGGCTTGGAAGAAGGCCGCGACGTCTTCTTCCCAAAAAAAAAAATAATAATAATGAAAAGTGATGGTGAATAGGTAACTGCAAATGGCAGACGGTGGGCAGTAAAAAAAAAAAAACAATGAAAAGTGGTGGTGACTACGAATGGCAGATGGTGGGCAGTAGGTAGTTACAGTGAGGCACCGATGGTGGACGACAAACGAACCAAATCTGGGCATTTTTTTTCATTTTGATTTGATTATATTATTATTATTACTAATTTTAAATAAAATTTAACACAATATATCATTTTAAATAAATATGTTGAAGTCACATCAGCTTAGAAGATATAATCATCAAGTAATTTACTGGTTAGCTGGAGGCAGCCTACAAAATAGTCTAATTGCACTTTATTTGTAAACTAGTTTTACACGCGCATTGAGCAAATGCATTAATGCCCAATGTTTATAATTAAATAAATATTTGAAAGTATATCAATGCAAGATTATATATGAGAAGTTCATACATAAGTAATTTAATGTCACATTTGTTTATTTAAATATGTAACTCATAGTATATGAAATTATGAATACAATGTAATATATGAGATTCATTATAATTGTTACTAAACTTTTTTAAATAGTTATCAAGTATTTTTGTTGCAAAGGTTTCTAATATATTTAATGAATGTACATATATACAAGATCAATGAATGAATCAACGGTACAAATCCTTTAGGTGTTTTGCTCAGTGTTCATTTAGTTC